GCCAGAGTGGTGGGTGCCGAGCTTGAACATATATTCGACACCTTGTCCAAGGAGCTGATTCATCTCCAGGAAGAGCGCAGGATACATGCGTTTACACTCCTGGCTGAGAGAGACCGTCGCCTGCGAGAGGCTGAGGAGAGCGGGAGGAGACAGGTGGAGGAGCGCAGACGCAGAGAAGAAGATGAGATTTTCCGACAAGTGCGTACACGGGACCATTTTAAGTGTGCAAAAGAAATGAGTTAGAATAGTACGGTATGTGTTTGTATGTGTGAGTGGTGCACGTGTTTTAATGCTTAGCATGTCTTGCCCTTTACACTGTGACAGGTGGTTCAGGTACACCAGGAAACTGTGGATTTATATTTGGAGGACATCATCCTGGGGACCTTGGAGAAGACAGCTGATGAGCAGGCCAGGGAGGAGATCCGGAGGAGAGCAAAGGAGGTCAACGACATCGCTTACGCCATGGATGAAAGGTAGGAAATACATCAGCATATCTGCTCCTGTTTTGTGTTGAAACATGTAAACGCAATGATAATTAACAAATTAAATGATGTGTGGGTAGCCGGAACGATCTTCAGTCGGAGGAGATTGTATCAGAGTTGGTGTACAGTTTCCTTATCCCAGAGGTGGAGAAGATCATCGTCAGACAGAGAGGTTTGGGAGAATTTTCTGTTTTCACTGTATTAGCACATTGTTATCAAAGAATATCTCTATGAAATAATTTACTTTTTAAAACATAAACAGTCAAAATGACAAATGAATGATACAGATGCTTTACTCGCTGGTCTGACTTTGTGATTTCTCTCTCTCAGTGCACCAAAGGCAGCATAGACACTTGCAGGCCACTCGGAGCATCATTCAGGGGACTGCAGAGCATTCTGGGATCCTTCCCATTACTTTGGGGGCTTCTCAGTCCAGCTGTCCCTCTGAAAGAGCCTCCAACCGAGTCCTCGAGGAGGTGCTCGGCCCAGCAGAGCAGGAGAAGGGGAAGCAGACAGAGTAGCACCACTTTCAAACTGAGTAAAGATGACTAAGCATATACAAAGTGTTCTGAGATGCAGTCTTGTGTCTAAATGTGTTGTTGATTCATATTATTAAAGATTACAAAAAATCATTGAAGATTTATGGGCTGATTATAGTCCTTCAATTATCGATCCTTACATATTTTATCTACTGTAGAATGTACAGCTTTCCACCTTTTCTGACACTCACTCCAATTACATCTGGAGACAGCTGTGGCGGTATGGAGGATTAAGGGGTTGATATGGGCCAGAGACTAAGGCAGGTACTGTTAAAAGTTTTATAGCTGGTGACCAAAAATGTGTGACGCCCCGTCCACACAGCAGCTTGGGTTAGGTGGGGTTAGGTGGTCCAAAATGACCTACCCCAAAGGTGGGGTAGGTCATTTTGGAGAAACCAGCTCGAGTGCGCTAGAATTTGAAAATACACAACCGGAAAAAATCTGCCACTTCCTTACAGAGCCCCTCCTCCAACACAAATGAACACACACATGACCAATGAGGGCACGAGATAAGTTTG